TATTCTATTCTATTCTATTCTATTCTATTCTATTCTATTCTATTCTATTCTATTCTATTCTTGATTTTCTTCTCTTCTAATTTCCTATTCTATTCTATATTCCTCCTCTCCTCTCCTCTCCTCTCCTATTCTAATTACCTTATGGTTGAAAAAAATATATGGGTAAATAGTAATAGCCCTTAGACTTATATACCGCTTCACAGTGCTTTCCAGCCCTCTCTGTTTACAGAGTCAGCCTCTGGCCCCCAACAATCTGGGTCCTCATTTTACCCACCTCGGAAGGATGGAAGGCTGAGTCAACCTGGAGCCTGGTAGGATTTGAACTTGCCAAACTGCAGGCAGCTGGCTGCAGCAGTAGTAGCTTGGAGCACTGCCAAGCAGGACGGGGACCACAATTTCCACTGCTAGGGGAGGGAGGTGCCAAGTGAGTCACACGCAATTTTACCACCACCCCCCCCCCATCGTGATTGTTGAGAGAATCACAGCAGTTATTACATGAATCGCGTGATCAATAAAAAGCAAATCCGGTTTCCCACGCTGACCGTGCTCGTTTGGAAGCCGGAGAAGATGGCAAGAAAGGCCGTAAAACTTGGGGTGACCCACTTAAGCGTCCTGCTTTAGCAACGGAAATTCGGCCCCAGGGTGTCGTCGTAAGTCGGGGACTACCTGTACGAAACGTAGTTGAGAGGCTAATTTGAATGATTGAAGGTGTGAGGAGCCCTTGAGGCTCTCTGAGCTGGGTTGTTTCCGGGCAGACGTTTCACGACCCAACTAGGTAACATCATCAGTTCCGGAAGGGACTCGGGGTTGTGGAATGGAGGGATGATGATGATGGAGAGGAAGAGGAGGAGGAGGAGGAGGAGGAGGAGGAGGAGGAGGAGGAGGAGAACTGTGGAGCACTTGCTGATTTCTGAGCTGGGTTGTTTCCTTGCAGAAGTTTCATTACCAAACTATGGAACATTATCAGTGCTAGAAAGGGGTGGAAGAAAAGGAAGAGGAGGAGGAGGAGGAGGAGGAGGAGGAGGAGG